TTACCGGTGCATCCAGACTGAAAGCCGCCCGCAAATACAGCTACAGTGGCTGTGTCCTACTCGGGTGAAGATGGTAGGACAATGTTCCTCTCATTAGGTCTAACGCTGGAGGTGGTGGTTCTCAGTCCGTTTGTCCATGAGATGGTATGGTGCTGGGTTTGGACGGTGCACCCTGTGCCATGCTTGTGGCGGGTGTTCTGGACTGTCACTGTGTGAGTGCTTGTAGCATCATCTGTTTTCATGTGTATGCCATTGTGTCAAATAGTTCTTTTTTCTTCTTTTTTCTGGTTTGTTTTAACATTATTGTATCGATCTGCTCCCGTGTGAGCTCAAACTCATCATCTGTTTACTCATAGTTACATCTGTACACCATTTAGCCACACGTGCTACCGTCTTCACCCGAATAGAACGCCCAGTATATTGCTGTATCTGGACTGAAAGTTGCTCCAAATACCCCTCTAACAACCGGGCATTCTATTCGGGTGAAGACAGTAGGCACTGTCAAATACTTCTGAATGACATTCCAGACTGTACGAGTGCCAAGCCATTGCCCGCAAACTTCATCGGGAGGCCGGGCGCCTACAGTAAATGTGCACAGCTCCCCCCCAGCAGAGAATATTTTCCAATATCCGTGCCCTGGTACTTGCTGCTAACTCCCAAGGGCTGGCCGTCTTGGACAGACCACATAGCCAACTAGCACACACTACTGGCCTAGCTACATAGCGCGTCCTTCCTTGTTAGCTTTAGTACCCATGCCATGTCCTTGTTTCTGTGCGTGTGTTTTCTATCTTGTGTTAGCTTATAGCAAGTTATCACCCATGCTATCTCCATCATGTTCTGTGCATGCCTCCGTTTCTGCATGTCTCTGTGTTTTAGCTTATAGCAAGTTATCACCCATGCTATCTCCATCATGTTCTGTGCATGCCTCTGTTTCTGCATGTCTCTGTGTTTTCTTGTGTTAACTTATAGCAAGTTATCACTCATGCTATCTCCATCATGTTCTGTGTGTGTCTCTGTTTCTGCACGTCTCTTGCCCTGCACTTTCTATCCCTTCAGGCGGTTTCTCGTTTGTCAAGTGCCAGCTGAATCAAGAAGCAAGCCCCTCTGCACTCAGTTATGGGTCTGAACACACAGCATGCTCTTCTGGGTTTTGGCCTAGGTAGCACAATTGCTATTGCGGTGCTGTCGTGTCCGTGGGATAGTCCATGCATGCTACTCTGGGTTCGTGATGTGGCTTATGTTTGCGGGTTTGGCAATCTCTCTCTAGCACTCCTGCCGTGTCCATGCTATTCTGGGTTCGCGATGTGGCTTGTGTTTGAGGGTCTGGCATTCTCTCGCACACTGCTGGAAATTTCAAGGCTCAGGTGCAAAAACTGACTCTATCTATGAGCCTTGCCAGCAACACACTATTATTCAGTGCTAACGCTCCTGGAAATTTCAAGGCTCGGGTGCAAAAACTGAGTCCGTCTATGAGCCTTGCCAGCAACAGGCTATTCAGTGCTACATTGGCATGCACCAGCCCTCCTCCACGGGCCAGATTCATCCTCAACCGGCACCCCCCAAAACAGTGCGCATCATAGCCACAAAGTGGCACAAACAAAACTCATAATTACCATCACTATTTCGGCTATGTAGCACCCCCCAAATCATGTGCACCTGCCCTCCTCTGCAGGCCAGATCAGTCCTCATATGTAGCAAACCTTAGAATCATTCTGGCTCTTCACAAACCTTGAATGCCATTCGGGCTCTTCAGATTCAGGCCAGGGCCATCAACCGACCGTGACTAACAGCCTTGCCAGCAACACACTACCTTGTCTGATCCGTTAGCATGCACCTGATCTGCTTCCCGACCAGATTCATCACGAGTCAGCACTGAACAGATTGAGTCATAGCCACAAAACCTACGTCCGCATCGCCATCACCAAACCAGATGACTGTGTTTTTTTTTTTTTGCGCAGATTTGGACCAGATGACTATTAATCTTGAGACAAACAAATTGATCTTTTGGCCTCAGCAAATTACTGTACGACTGTTAATCTTGACACAAATCATAATCATCGGACGGCCTAGGGGAGGACTGTCTGACCTGAGCTGCTGCATTCCGAACCCGGGCAACCACTGATCTTCAACTGCCTGCCAGTACATTGCCCAGGCAAACTTGAGAATGGAAATCGTGCAAATCCAAAATCCATTTTTTTTGGCCACTCGGGTCTACGGGACCACAATGGCTGGCGGCACCAGCCAACAAAGGCAAAATGTGGGCTGCTGGCAATTTGCCAAAGCTCGGCACGCAGTGCAAATCTGCCCCAGCCAAAGAGGCTCGGATGTACTGGTCCTTTTATGCTAAATTTCACAGTCCACCTCAGTGAGGAGGACTATCTCACCCAAGTTGCTAAAAGCTGTTAGACCTACTCTGAACGAATGTGGAGGATAGAAGGTTGTCACTGGCTCTGCAGAGACTCCTCTATTCCACTTGTTACCCAACTGCCACCCCGCTGACAAACCTGGACATCCCTGCAAATCCATGGGCACGCCTCCGAGTCCCAACGATTTAATTACCTCGGTGAACCTCGCAGTAACCCTCCTCGACCACCAGGTAGAGCCCTTTCAACCCCTGAGTAAACCATTTACCAAGCTGAGTAAACTCTCTATTTCCAAAGAACCTGGGAAACCCCCTATTTCAAACCCTGGGCAATCCTCTTGTCAACCCCAGTTAACGTTTTAACACGCTGGCTAAACCCTATATTCTCCTCCGTAAACCATATAGCCCCCAATCCCCTGGACAACCCTCAGCCCCACGGGCTACTACTTTAAACCCTGGGGTAACCATGTCATTCATTCCCCGCAAAACCCCTCAAGAATACAAAAACCTAGATAACTCTCTTTGCATCGCCTCTCCCCTCCCTCCCGTCCCCGTTCAGCCTTCAATCCGTGGCATTCCCCCATGCATTCTTCTCTCGACCTTCCTCCTCCCACGATTTACTCAGGCTTGTTCCGAACTTGCCTGGAGTAGCAATATAGAAGTTTTGCACGACCTGGCACTTCTTCCAACCGTACCATCCCCTGTGTACACCCCTCAAATATACAAAACCTTGGTTGACTTTTTACAACCCGTCATCCCCCCGGTTTGCCATTCACAATCCGTGGCATTGGACCAACAAAGGGAAAAGGGGAAAAAAAAAAAAAAAAAAATGCATGGAAGTTTCGCACGATCTGGCAGTTCTCAACAAGAGCGAATGCTCGTAAAGCAGAGATCGGTGGGGTTCCATTGAGCGAACCATGCCCTTCGTCTACAGTCCATCTCCTTCCCCCGATGACTCCTCTATATCCTACAGAAACTCCCTCTGCTCTCCAGTCAATCACTAGTCAGGTTTTGTTTGATCTCTTGCAGAAGAACGATTTACTCCATGATGTTGCTCCTGCTGCGACGGCAGCTGCGGCTGTTGTTGTCGATGGTTGATGGTGATATCAACAAAAAATGGAGAGATCATCCTTGCCGTTTACCCCTTTCCTGGATTGCCAGACTGGTTGGAGAATTCATCAAGCCGGGATCGCCGGGGGGGGGGGGGTACTACGGTGAGAGGTGGTAGTGGTGATGCTGATGGCGTCAGCAAAAAAAAATGAAATGGCAAACAAAACACGCTATCCCCTTCACCAGGGGTCCCCTCTATATAGCCTTAGGAGTAGGAGGTAGATAGTGAAAAGGCGAAAGAATTTGAGAAAAGAATACAGTGTAGTTTAAAAAAAAATAAAAAAGAAACAGCCCAGTGGCTGAATGACTCAGCAGGAAGAGCGCCAAGAGAGTGAGTGGGGGAGCAAACGAGTGAGAGCTGGATCTCCAGTTGGTGGAGGAAGCAGCGAAGCGGCTAGCTGCGTGGCAGAGACGCTGAGTACATCAGCGATTGTGCGACCGAGGGCAACACAGGCACGCTTTCGTACGGTGTGACTGGGTGAGTTCACAAGCGACAGAGAATTAATCTGGAACAACTCAGTGAATGTATAAACGGGCAAGCTAGACAACGCTGTGCGCCTAGCAAACGACTCAGAGCGCCGCACTGACAGACTCGTTTCCTCCCAGAGTGAGCCATTGCGCACGCGACTGAGCGACCAAGCGAATGACTTCAGAAACAGCTCAGTGAGAGACAGAGAGAGAGAGAGAGAGAGAGAGAGAGAGAGAGAGAGAGTGTGTGTGTGTGTGTGCATATCACCATCTCTGGTGGGTTGAAGTGAAACTTTTTTTTTTGGGGGGGGGGGGGGGGGGGTGGGGGTGTGGGAGAGAGAGAGCATTGCGGCATGCAACATGTCAACGACAAGGAGCAGAAGAGATGACGCAACCTCAAAAAAATAAAAAAAATATTTGATTAAAATA